TTATTTATCATTTTAGTGTTTTCTTGAAATGCTGTTTGCTTATTTTTATATAAGTGTTAATGCATATGACACTATCAGTTCTGATTTATATGTTATTATCGTTTGGAACTAATAGAATTGCTAAGAGGATTGCTACTAGTTCTGCCCTTGTGGATAATAGTCAATTGTTAACCATTGCTTGGAATGATCTTTCTAGATTTGGTCCTTCTGTTTGTAACCAGGCTGCTCCTATTCTTATAGATTGGTCTAGTGCTTTATCCATAATACCATTTGTATAAAATTGATAATTGCTTTTATAGCTACTAGGGCTCCTAATGATACCACTTCAATACTTAAATTTACTATAAAAACATATGAGTAGATTACAACCTATATATTAAATTTACTATAGATCGGTACCATTTTGATATCATTTCGATACCAATTCAGTATTTTTTCAAAATTCTAATAGTTACTATTGTTGTTAAGTCTGTATTCGAGGCTTAATCCTGTATAATGTTCTTCAGACATGATATTGTCTTGAATAATTTGTAATTTATAGTCTTCTATCTCTACATACTGCAATTTTAATGGTATTATGGTACTGGTTTGAAGTTGTTCCAGTTGGATTTTGGCTTGGTATTCCAATATATGAATTTATATTGGTATTGATGATTCTTTGTCTCTTTGATATTTGGCAATCTTGTTCATCTAATTGAAAGAAAGTAATAAATTTCATTGGTGTTTTCTTGATTGTTCTTTATTTTTATAAACTTGGTCATATTGGAACTAGCTTCAGTTCTGATTTGAAAGTACTCTATTCTCTAATTGTTTGCTTTCTGGATGCTTCTACTTCTGAATCAGATGAGATTGTGTTCTGTACTGTTGTCAGTACTTACTTGCCAGTTCTATTTTCTATGATAATTCTATTTGTTCAGTATAAAGAGCATTCTGTTTTGTGTTATTTAATCAAAGCTTGACCATTCTGGCTTAAGAACACCAAACTCATTTTTCAATATTTGTTTAACTATCTGGTACCATCTTGAAATGGATCCCTTTTCTTGATTGTTTAGAGATATCTGGTAACAAGTTGAAGTATCAATATCTATCCTGAAAATGGTTGGAGAAAGGAATCTTGAAACTATCCACTAGTTAAATAAAGCTATAATTCCAAAAGACATGGCTTGGAAGAGAAATCAACAATAGAAAACTAATATCCTTTCTGGTTAGAAGTCTTCAAGCATAAAGTTTCAAGAAATATTTTCTTAAAAGTGCCTTTAAATATTCTTGGACATTGACTACTCTATTGGAAATTAAACAGTTTAACTGGTCACAGGTGGTGAGAAGTGGAAATTCATGAGAGGCTTGGGTTTTAAGTTCACTGAGATAACCTTTTCAATAATAGTTAGAATAGATAATAGTTTTTTTTTTCTTTTCTCTTTGTCAAAAAATTTCTTTTTTATTTCTTTTTTATTTCTTTTTCCTCTTGCATAGTTTCTACAAGAGGGAATAACACAATTTGGATTTATGGTTGTGACTATGGAGGTGATCTGCAGGTACTGATTCTATCGGAAATTTGGAATCTTAATTCCATCCTTTAGGGGAACAATATATAACCTCCATAAATCGCATCTAAAGGCTTCGGCTAAAGACAGGGGAGTTAAGTCAAGAAAATTTGTACTTTTTATGTATTCTTGTGTGTGTAATGATTCTTTATGATTTAATAAATAAACGACACTAACCTGATTGCGGGATTAAAAAAAAAATAACTAAAAGTTAAAATATTTTTATAATTATTTATAAAACTTAAAAATAAAATTTCTATTTTTAATTTAAATTAAAAAAGATTTTTGTAATACAATAAATTATATATAATTTTTAGTAAATATTACTTTAAACAATATTTATTTTCTTTTTAATAAATAAATAACAAATATAATTAATAATAGTTATATTTTAATCTATCTTAAGCTTCTTATAACAAATATTATGAAATATATAATATATATATTTTAAAGAAAAAAAAATTAATAATAATATTTTATTATAACTTGATAATAAAATGATAAAATAGGTTAATAAAAAAAGTTAAAAAAAATATAAACCAATAGTCTTAATACAACTCTTTAAAATATTATATAACAATATTTAACAAATTATTATTTTAAAATAAACAAAATATAAAACAATAATATAATAATCATAATATTGACAAAAAAATTGAAAAAAATTTTAAAAATGTTTTTTACATTATATAATTAATTCAATATATTTATTCTTAATAACTAAAAAAATTAAAAACAAAAAATAATATTTAGAAAAAAAAAAATATAATTTTCAAAATTTTTTAAAAAAACTAAATATTTATAGAATCTTTTAAATTTAATATACAAATTTAATAAATTATACTTTATAATTTAATCTATTTAAAATTATTACAAGTAGATATATTTTAAAAAAATTAATTAAAACATATAAAAAAAAAACAAAAAAATAATATTATTAATTAAATAAAAAAAAATAAACAAATAAAAACTTAAAGATATTAACCTGGCTTTAATATAACAATATTTGAATTATAAATATAATTAAAAAAAAATTAATTTTTTTTCTTATTGACAATTTAAAACATTAGTTAAAATTGATTAAATTATAATATAAATAATAAAAAATTATATATTTGTATTAAATAAAATCCAAACTTTTGTTAAATATATTATAAACAATCTGAAAAAGTTATTTAACAAGGGAAAAATACTATATATAGGTATTTAAAAAGCAAATTTTAGTTTAACAATTTTAATAAGTTTTGTTTTGTTTTTATATAAATTATTAATAATTTAATTATTATTTAATATATTTTAATATATTTGAGATAAAAAAATTTTAAAATTTTTTGATATATTATATAAAATTTTTAAAAAGCTTAAAATATAAAACAAAATAGTATTTATTAATTTGTTTTATATTTTTCTTATATAAAAAATTATTTTTGATTTGTAAAAATAAAATAATATTTATTTAATATTCAAGAAAAAAAATTAAATAAATAATTCTAATAATTTCAAATTAATAGTATTATATTAATAAAAACAATATATAAATTTTTTATAAAACTAATTATAAATAAGATAGTATTTTAATTTTATAAAACTTTTAAAAAATATATAAGAATCAATTCAGCTTCAAATTAATAAAAGAATATTTGTTTTTAAAAATAAAAAATACTAATTAAACAAATTCTATATATTCTATATTTAATAAAATTCTTATTTTAAAAATAGAATTCAAAATATAAAATATTATATATAAATTTATAAATAACATATTAATAGGTGTTTTGTTACTTGAAAATTAATTAACTTTAGTATAAATTTAATTGTACTATATTTTTATACTATTGTTTTTTACATATAAAATTAATAAATACAACAATATACAATTTAATTTAATTAAATTATTAATAATTTAAAAATCCATTATTATTAGAAATAAATAAAACAATAATTTCTTATATAAAAATCTATTAAATTTTTTAAAATGTATACAATATATAAATTAATTGCTTAATATAAAATTAGAATTTTATTATTATATTTAGAATTAAATAAAAAATATATCTCACAATAATATAAAATATTTTTTTAAAAAAATCACAACTAGTAATGAATACAAGTTAAACAGAAATTCAATCTTATTATTTTACAAATAAATAAAATAAAATAAGTTGATAAAAAAAATTAATAATTTGCTGTTACTTTTTTATTACAACAATATACAGTATATATACATATTTAATATTTAATAATGCTTTTATTTAGAACTTGATACGTTTTAAAAATAAGTTGATAAAAAAAAATAATAATTAATTTTAAATACACTTTGATAAATAATTTTTTTTTTTTTACAAAACGTAATATATAAAACAAAAAGAAAAAAAAAAAAAAATTTTTTTTTCATAAATGCTGTATAAGGTTATTACTATTTAAATAATTTGATTTAAAAAAAATTTGATTTAAAAAAAAAATTTTTTTTTTTAAAAATAAAATCATTTTAATGAATACATCTTAAAAAGATCTTGTAAATCAAAGCTTGAAAAAAATTTGTTAAAATTTACATCTAATTTAAATTAATATTTACAATTAAAATAATTTTCTTATTAAATCATAATAAAAAAGGCGCGTTCTATTTTTTTCCTCTTGATGTTTGTAAACTGCACTTATGTTTTTAATATTAAAATGTATTTAAAGCTTAATTAAAGATCTGATGATTATATTATATTATTATTATAAAAGATTTGTGGAAATAATAATTTGTAGCGTTACAAATTATTTTTGTTTACGAGATTAATAATAGAAATTGCTCCGAGCTAATATCTTGGCGCTTAATTTTTTGATTTCCGGGATTTTCAAGTGGCATCTGCGAGTAGTTCTTGGTAAACTCGAATTATTAGCAGCATTGACCTGTTATTTAATATAAGGTTCTGGGTTAGGCAAGTTGCTAGAAGCTTCTCATTTTCGTATTTTCCTAGTTGCGCGGAGAATACGTACTTTAGAAATTCACTCTATCCCTAAATCGACTAAATTAAGTCCCGGCGCGTTGTACTAACACGAGATAAATTTGTACATACATAAATTCTGCGCCTTTGTTTTCTTCATGACCTAGCTTTGTGAAACTTCGTGCACACGTTTTCAAATCCTTCCATTATACATAAAATTCCTTAAATCAGCTTACAAATGCAAATAACAAGTTAGCATTTCTCTGAGAAATAAATCTAATTTTTGAAGATTTACAGGTAAGAAGACAAATAACGATCGTTCAAAGGGGTTCTGACGGTGAAGGTGGGCATACACATAGGTTCAAGATAATAAAGTAATAAAGTTGTCGGGGGAATTCGGGCATCACAAAATTGCGTTCCTCCAGAAATATAACTAAAATGCCTTTGCACCTTTCGTGTTTCACCTATTAGCGAAAGAACATTAACATATTCAGTTAACCTGAGTGAAAATAACAAGAATAACATGGAAGGGACAAAGGTAAAATACTATTTTGTTTTGTGGGCAACTCACAATTTCAGACCACGGTCTCTCATTATCAAATCTCCATATCTTAGGAGAAAAGTCTACGTTCCTCGTCTCAGATCGACGTTTCATGTTCCACTCCCTTAAATAATAACTTAAATCGACTGTCTTTAATTTCTACCGGGGGACACACCAGGGCTTCTACCATATCTATAGCACACAAACATAGTCTGACGCCGGTGATGGAACTTTTTTCAGATCCGAAACAGTCTTATATGACATTCGCTGAGTTCAAAAGAATTGATGAACATCCGCGACAACAAAGAGCGATATTAGCGGCGTTACAACGACAGGAGAGTGACTTGAAAAAGGACGGGGTCATAAAGGAGAAGGGAAGCTCAAAGAAGAAAAAAGGTATAGGCAACTTTGCCAAGGAAACGTGCATGTCTTTTTGGTCATTTATCATCTCTTTATGAAAATTAATCTTTGTGTGTAAATCATCACATTTCCAGAAAGAAAACTTTCTAAAACCAAAGATTTAATAGGCTATCGATCACCAATCCCATTGGTTAGACGAGGTTCTTCGAGTGTTGCAGCGTTTAAGTTTCTTGGAATTAAAAAAGGAAAAAAGAAAACCTCATCTGGTACGTTGTCTCTTATCATCAAGTTTAGCCAATGCACTGAAGATGTTACTAAAATCCAATAACATCTGTTTGTCAAAAAAAAAAAAGTATTGTTGAATAATCTTGTGTTAGCTATTCGTGATCACAAAACTTCCGATGCTTTGGCAATACTTACACATTTGTCGAGTCACGCTCTGAAAAAGAAAAGACCCAATGAAGCAAATTGGGCATTCTTGATGGCCATGGCGAATCGGATGGAGGATGTCGCATTGACCATGTATGAACGCGGAATTCCGGGTGATGTCAATTCCCCGATATTCGTCAAGCACACGAAGAATTCGGAACGTGGTGGCATCTCCGGTATGAAATTTCCGAGTTACTTTATTTTATCGGTAGCTCTTGGACTATACAAACTGACACAAGCAATGTTGAAGGTATTTATAGCGATCATGGTTATTATTTTTAATGATGTTTGGAGTGAGCGACTGATGAACACCCTTGATTTTCTAATCATTTTTCGCAGCGAGCTAATGTAAACCAAACATGGTTTGGCCTCTCGCCATTGATGATCCTCACGGCTCAGGCAACCCCAACGTCATATGCGAAATTGGACTCCGATGCCGCAATTTTAATGAAGATCTTTCTTGAACATGGAGCCGATCCTTCGCAAGGGTTACCATATGAGCAATTTAATATGCTGAGGAGGCTAAAGGCGAGAAAATCGAATATATTAAGTTTGGCAGGTTCCATTAAAGCGTCACATAAAAGTATCTCGCGTCAATTCAGCAGCAAGCATGTGAAAGCCGAGAAGGTCAAGGAAGAGACGAAAATTTATGCAAAGGACAAGTGGGTGACACCGCTAGACATTGCGGCTGTCAGTGGGAATATTGAGATTGTGAAGATATTACTGTCAAGGTTGACCTACATTTATTCTCTCGATTGAATTTTTTAACATTACTGATTTCTAATTTCCAATACCTAGAATGGATAGATCGAGTATTGCAAGTAGTTCATTCTGTCTGTCTATGCAACATGATATAATGCTTACATTGGACCTCGTTCATGCTGGGGCCAACGTCAACCAACAGGACCTTAGGTTTGATCCATTTAGTTTTAGCCACGATCGAGCGGTCATTGATATTCTGATGTCCTAATAATATTATTTGGAATTATTGAAAACACAGAGGTAGCACGGCTTTGCATCGTGCGGCCAGGTCAGGGCACGTCGAGATGGTGAAAGTATTATTAACGTGGGAAGCAGATGCCAATGCAAAGGGTGAAAACGATTGGTATGTTTTAGTTTATTAAATGCATACACATATGATAATTTCTGAAACCTCATCTTCTTCAAATCCATAGGACCCCACTGCATGAAGCAATTAGCCAGAAGCACATTAATGTTTGTCAAATTCTAGTTGCGGCGGGAGCGAACGCCGAATTAAAGAATAAATCTGGGAAGACCGTTCGTGACCTAGGATTGTTGTGCGGTTTAACCAAAGAACAGATTGACCAATGCTTAGGTTTGTTTTTGTTTTGTTTTTTTTTTTTTTATCGTTCACTCACGACTGATTTCGGGAATTTTTCAGATTCAGCAGGCGCACCTAGCCTACAGAAGAACAAGCAAAACGGGAATGTACTGGGTTCAAAAGCTACACAATCGAATGAAAAAATATCCACAAATTCAACGAACCACAAAACCAAAACATTTTCCAAAAAATCATATCACAATCTTTCCGTGTTGCTGAAGGCCGGCGATCGCACCGAAAGCAAGTCACCGAATACAAAATGTTGAGAAACATTCGACAATTCACCCCAATTCCATTTGTACGCATTTTAGGTTGATTAATTCGATCTTGAGATTTCCAGGTTAATGTTTTTATGTGTAAAATACTCGTAATCATTTAAAAATATCATTACATTTCGTAATCATACAAACATGTAATATATAATGAATAGATTAATTTATTGTCTTAAATAATTCCGAATAAATTTATTATGACATACTTGCTATGTGAGGATGAAATCAAAGTTTGCTAATCCGAAATCACTTTAGCGAGTAAACACGTGAATATATAGTAAACTATTCTATCACCAAGCCTCATAATAGTATCTTGTGATGTAACTTTACTGTTTAATGCTGGTCTGGTTTATTTCATCAAATCAACAATTGTTGAAGGTCAATGTAATTCTCATTCTTTCATTTAAGGAACCCTATTGTTGGATATAACTTCCCTAACCGGATGTCACACAAATCCACCAGACGTCATTTACATAAGCTGCATGGCCACGCGATATAAATCGGCACACAAGAATGGATAGAATAGAGGAAGATTAGAGATAAGACGCTGAGCATGACTCCCGAAGAGTAACAATGTTTCTCACTCATGTTTTTTAAGTTTCACTCCTGTGCACACTTACGTAGATACCAAGATACCATGCATCTGCCTGCTAGCTTTTTTGTTTTAATCACACACGAAATTATACTACGGTATATACAGTATAATACAAGCTACAAAAATCAATTAGGAACCTTTCTTTCATTATGCACCCATTCTGAGAAATATAATCATTGTCAATGTTTTTTGTAACATTACATGCATATACGTATATGCATCGTCTAATAAATTAACCGACTAACTGGCTAAAACAGTGAATCACGCTCGTTATCTTCAGGAGCACCAGAACATATTGTTGCTATCTGAATATCTTTCGGATCAGCAAGTATCTTCATGCAAAAAAGAAATATTTATGACACGTATACAGCTATGCATTTTTTGTATTGACCATGATCCGACAAACATTTATATTAGTTAAAAGTTTTTCGTTATCGTTTTATCTTGCTATGTACATACAAAATGTTCAGAAAATGAAATGGAATCATAATTATAAAAATCCCCCCTTCCCAGATCTATGAACGTATTTCCATTTTTTTTTTCTCTGAACCCTTTTTAAATATCTCATAAATCATTCAATTTTTTACTTATCAATAAGAGTTACGTGCAATCGTAGTCGTTCTCTGCTTTCCATATCCATTCGATACTAAACACAGACCGATCGCGAATTATGTCTTCATTTGACTTGAACCATTATCGTAGACTTGATCTTGCCCGGGGTCAAGAATTACTGGACAGAAAATACGTCGGTCGGTATTAATTGGCGCACAATTCCTTCTTTCGGAAAATGTACTCAAAAAATGTTTATCCCCACAGACCTGGCGAGCGCAAATCTCGGTGCTTCAATTCTGGAGTTTAGCGATGAATTTTTCGCTGAGGCATCCAATCTGTTGAAACATGGTCGACCGGTACGAGACCCTAATCGATTCACCGAGCATGGTGCTTGGTATGATGGATGGGAAACTCGTCGACATAATCATTCATACGATTGGTAACTAATAAATCTCGGAATTTCGTAATTCTTTTTTCCCTTTTTAACAAACTCTTTTCTCTCATATTACCATATTCAGGGTCGTTATAAAGTTGGGTTTCACAGGCCACATCACGGGATTTGACATCGATACTACCTATTTTAATGGAAATCATGCTCCCATTGCAGATGTGGAAGCATGTTACTCTCCAGATCGTGACCCCATTCATGGTGATAATACCAAGGCAAAGTTCATTTTACTTTTTCCTTTTCACCTATGATGTGCCGTTAACACCTCACTTAACTTTAATAGTGGGCAGAAATTTTATCGAAAATTGACCTGGGTCCATCCGCTCAGCACTTTATCGAGATACCGAAGACTCCAAGATTTACACATGTTCGGCTGAATATATATCCTGACGGAGGTGTGGTAGGTAATTGTCGTGATCTTCTTACGTATTTCGCTCATTATTTTCTTAATACGGTTTGTATACATTTATGGTAGTCCCGCTTTAGAGTGTACGGTATCGTAAGTCCAAATTGGCCATCGGATCATGCGGCGTTACTTGACCTCGCGTTCGTTGGTCACGGAGCGAAACCCGTAGCTTGCAGCGATCAACATTTTTCTAAAGTCGAAAACCTATTATTACCCGGTAGAGGTGTGGACATGTCTGACGGATGGGAGACCAAACGGAGCAGACAAGAAAATCACAAAGATTGGGTGATCGTGAGATTGGGTAGTGCCGGATACTTGGAGCAAGCGGAGATTGACACGGCTTTTTATAAAGGAAATTATCCAGAGAGTGCTTCTCTGGAGGCCTGTTATTCTGATTCGGTTAGCATTCGATCTTAAAAGTTTTACGCAACTTTTCTTTTTTGACATCTCAATTTCTTGTTTCATGTAATCAGGTCATTCCGGATGCGAGTATCGAGTGGACTCAAATACTGGAAAAGTCAAAATTGAGTCCTCACAGGCAACACCTCTTCCAATTGTCCGTTGTCGATCAAAAATTTTCTCATGTACGAATGACCATTTATCCTGATGGCGGCGTGAAACGCCTACGCATCATCGGTCGTAAAAATTTACCATCACCTAATCATAAATCGCGCCGTCCGTCTTCACCCCAAATTCCCGCGGTTCCGGCTTTGCCACCACCAAAACACATCGTCGCACAACCGTTAACCTACGAACACTATGCACCCTACGGTCACATAATTCAATCATTCCCCGAACCGAAACGTACCTCTCCCTTAGCGACCACTATTACCAACAACATTCGTGTAACCCCCGCCAATCAAGGGACTGCCCGGAAATATAATCACATAGCGCCGGTGGTGAATGCTTGCCAGAAGCCCATCTTAATTAAGGGTGATTCGGATGGGAATGTACAATTCGTATCTAAGGCGGAACCAAACTTGAGTTTATACCGGTGTTTGCCTGTAAGTAAACTGCCGTTTGATGTGCGATTGTTGGAAAGACACCCCTATTCGAGCCAAGCGTTCGTGCCTATGTGTGGGGGTACGAATGTACGAGCTTACATGATTGTAGTATGTTTGAGTGATCAAGGTAAATATTGTTGATACCGTTGCGTCATTTTTCCAGTCTCTTTAAAAAACGGTTAAAGGGAAACCGCAACTTTTTTTCTTTTTGAAAAAAAAACATACATACACGTACACTAGACGGTATACCTGATTTTAAAACATTGAAATCTTTCCTATGCTCAAGCTCTCAGGGAATCAGTTATAATCCAGGCGTATGGCATCACCCCATGATCGCTCTTGAAGAGGTTAGCATTTAACGATTGAATAATTTCGGGTAATCTTTGGTGAATCGTCAAATTCAATAAAGTTTTTCTTTTTTACAAAATAGACAACAGATTTTGTGTGTCTTACTCACGAATCCGGCGTTGCAACTCAGGATTGTGAGGAGATTGAGGTTGGATCGCATAACATTCAGATAAACGTTATCCCGGAATTCTCGAACAAGAATGAGTGAATGAATGAAAGTGCAAAAATCACTACAAGACTGGTCTAATGGGTAATCGCTTTCCGTACTTTAAATCCTGTCAGTTTATTTATTTAATTATTACATATTTGATACAATGGAAAGAAGAGGCCGCGGTCGTAATGAAAATAGGACATTTGATTCATGACTTCACACATTTTTCTACCACTCCTAGATTATAGAGATCACTTAATATTATCGATCTTAAATTACACGTACGGGTCAATTTTCGATAAATTGCAAGTTAAAAAATAAATTACAATAAATTATGTAAAATTTCATAATATTTTTAACAAAATATAACAGTTTAGATAGTATTATATAATGAACAATTAATTATTTCATATAGAACTTTATAAACAAAAAAAATTATAAAAGTTTCTTAATAAATTGTTTTTAATAAAATTTTTTGAAAATATTTTTGAATACAAATTTTATTTATTATTTTTTTCTTTTAATATAAAATTAGATACAGTGCCGCTGGCAATAAAAACCGGCAATTTTTTGGATCAAACATTTTTGTTATAAATCTTTAAATTATCATTTCAATAATTTAAAGATTTAAATATATAAAATATTTAATCGTAATTTTTTATGATTCATTATTCTAAAATTTATGACAAAATTAATTTTTTTTTATGAATTTATACATAAAACATTCATATGTAAATTCTGATTGAAAATATTTGATAATAATTTTTTTAAAAAATCATTTAATAAGCATATACAGATCTTATAAAAAAATAAATTTATTTTAAGATAATGATTATAATTTTAGTTAAAACTATTAAATAATATCTAAGTTAAATATAAATATTGTAATATAATAATAATTTTTAATATTTCAAAAGTTGATTAACAAAATAATAATATATAATTTAATTATTAATTTTTTTTGCTAATTTTCTAACCAATTCAAAAAACTGATGTTCCAAAATAATTTTATATTTATTTGTAATAAAGTCTATATTCTTTCTTTAATAACATTATTACCTAGAAACTTTAATTTTTTTTTACTTTTTCTTTGAAATAAACTTTTAGTATTTTTATAAGTAAATATAAGAAAAATCTATTTACAAAGTCAAAGGCAAAAACACTTTACTAAAAAAAAAAACTTGTAAAAACTTGTAAAAACTTGTAAAAACAATACTCTTTTTTTTTCCAAATGTTTAAGATTTTAGAAAAGATAACTATAGATTTTTAAAAATTTTTTTATTTTTTTCAGACTTCCTATTTATTTTCTTAAGCATGTAAACTTTTTTTTTGATTTTTTGAAAGAATTAGTCTGTTTTAGTTTGATCCTAAATTTTTGGTAATACTAGAATTCTTAAATAATAATTGGTTCAAAATTTGAATTAATTAATTTATATATAATAAAAAATATAAACAAGATACATAAATCTTATATGTTTTATCTTATACTACTTTTATTTAATAATATGATTGGTTATAATAGAAAAAACAATGTAATAAGATGTACTCTTTAATAAAAGAAGTAATTTGATACTTTCTTCTTTCTTTTGAACTAGATTTATTTCTCTTTAAGATCAAAAAAAGTGTCTTATTTCAATTTAATAATAAACTAACTCTATTATTAATTGTTTTAAAAATAGTTAAAAAAAGAAAGCTTAAAACTATTTATTAGTTGAATAAGTCATAATTTCTTGAAAAACTAGTTAAAAAAAATTATCAAATAATATATCAACTCTTTTTAAAGATTGGAAGTTTTAAGTATAAAGTTTTAAGAAATACTTTTTTGGAAACACTTTTAAATATTTTTGTTTAATAATTGGAATAATAAAAATTAAATATGCATTTAGTTACAAGTAATTGG